TGCATAAAGCTTGAGATCATCCATATAGAATGAATGGGAGAGCTTCGTTTTAGAATTGAGGTGGTATCCCTTACCTGTATCTTCCAGTAGTTTACTGAGTGGATTGAGCACCAAACAGAACCAAAGAGGGATAAGGGAGTCACCTTGAAAAATACCCCTTTTTATAGGTATATATTCATTGGTACTTAATCCATTCCAATTTGATGTGCAGAATGATACCTTCCAAATTTGCATTAAACGTTTTAACAAATCTATTATTGTCTGGTCCACTTTATAGATCTTCAGAAATTCTAAAAGCCGATCATGTGGCACTGAATCGAATGCTTTACGGTATAAGGGGATACGTTTAGTTTTCGGGATCTCAAGAGATATGCATATAACCCAGTATTACACCAAGCTAAAGTAGCTCTATCCATCCAACCGGCGTCTGTACTTCCTTGCTGCCTTTCTATACCAAGTCATCAGAACTCAGTGGCCTTCCTATGTTTTTCACAGCCTACAATTCAAATATTCCATTCAATTCCATCTCACTAGATCTCGTACCTCCGACCTCTATCCACCTCCCCACTGAACTGCAGCATTTGACAAATCCTTTATAATTCAAGCCGTCTCCTTCTGGAATACCATCCCTCCCAATATCTGACATGTACAATCAGTTTCCTCATTTAAATCCCTCCTTTTTAAGCACCTACTTCTTTCCCAACCCAATTGAACATGAAAAGTAGATAAGAGAACTTTTTAAGTTCCCCCAGAAATAGTTTTGTTTAATTATGTTATTTTATTTTCACATGTTTGTATTGTATATATATTGTAACGTACCCAAAAGCCACGCTCGTTGGGCGCCATGTTGTAACGTACTCTTTGTCAACATTAATCAAACAACGAGTTTACTTTTTGAATATACTATTTATTTTACACATATAACATAAATCTCAGGTTGGGTTCGGGCAACTGAACACTCATTCAACATTTAATAACTATAATTTACTAATTACTAAATACATATAAAGAAACGAGATACATACATTAAGAAATTATACATTCAAAAACCTTTATTGTCCCAGTCTAAACTTTGTGGCTCTTTCTATTTTCTCAACTTGCTGGCTAGTACCTTCTCTCTTGACAGCTTGTCACATTTTCTCTTGGCGGCTCATAATCTTCTCTCTTGGCCGCTAGCACCTTCCCTCTTGGCGGCCCGTCGCAGTCTGAGTTACATGAGCTTGCTTCCCCCACCATCCGCACCGTAGTTCATGCTCTTGCCACTTTCGCGCCACTATTTATATACCATGTAATGTTGACATTACAATATATATATATATATATATATATATATATATATATATATATATATATATATATATATATATATGTATTTAGTAGTTTTGTTTTATTTTTCATCCAATATTTTTATTTTAATGAGCATTGTAAATATTTAATTTAATTTTATGGCCACACAGGCATTTCCTCTGTATCTATAATTTGTCCTAAAGGGACAAAAGTCCCAGGATAATAAAAATCTATTTTCATTTCATATAAGAAACTAAAAAAACCTAAATAAATTGAGGTAGTCCCTGGGGGTGCTTAGATATTTCTCTTAAATATATTTCGCAATCCGTCGGATTGAGAAAGGAGTAGGTGTTTAAAGAGGAGAGGTTTGAAAGAGGAAACTGATCGAGTGTGTTGAATATCAGCAAGGATGGAATTCCAGAGGGAGGCGGCTTGTATTGCAAAGGATTTGTCAAACGCAGCAGTTTGGTGAGGAGGAGGATATAGGTCGGAAGTACGAGATCTAGTGGGACTATTGGATGGAGTATTTGAATTGTACGCTGTGAAAAATGTAGGAGGGTCGATGAGTTCTAACGATCTGGTACAGAAAGGTGGCTAGGAATTACTGACGGTGATAGGATGGGTAGAGCCACCTCAACTCAGTGTAATACTGGGTAATATGCGTATCCCTTGAGATTCCGAAAACAAATCGTAGTGCTCAATTCATTAGGTGTTAAAGTTTGGCCTCGGAATCTCCTGAGAGTCCACCGTACACCATACAACCATAGTCGAAGTGGGGGAAAACAAGGGAGGAAACTAGCAGTTGACGGGACTTATATGGAAGGAGATATCGTAGACGATGGAACTGTTTTAGGGTGGAGAAAGTGTGACGGGAAATTTGGCAGATGTGTGGTTTCCAGGATAGGGTTTGATCAAAAGCAACACCTAAGTTTTTAACGGTGGTATGGAATAGGTGAGTTGTTTAGAAGGAGATTGGGAGATACCAGGTAGGATTTGAGGAGTGAGGGGGTTCCGATCAAGATGGCTTTTGTCTTCTCGGCGTTCAGAGTGAGCCTGTTGAGGTTTGCCCAAGCACTTATTCTGTCAATGTCTTCCTGAAGTTTTAGAGTGGCATCTGAGAAATCGGTCGGATTAAAGGAGAGATAAATTTGAATGTCGTCGACATACAGGTGGTATTGACAGTGCAGGATAGAGGAAGAGCCTTGTGGGACGCCTCTGGTCAGAGGTACAGATTCTGATAGGGGGTTATTAGAAATTACAACATACTGGGAGCGACCGGTAAGGAAGGATTGGAACCAGTTAAGGGAACTAGAAGAAAAAGAGATATTTTTAAGTTTGGTTTGGAGGATGTTGTGTCTTACTGAATCAAAAGCTTTGGAGAAGTCTAGGAAAATAAGGATAGTTAGTTTCTGCTGATCTATGGATGTGTGAAGGTCTTGGGAAATTTTGATTAGGGCAGACTGAGTAGAATAACTAGGTCTGAAACCGGACTGGTAGGGATTTAGGAGATTATTGTCCTCTAAAAAATGGGATAGCTGGGATTGGACTAACCGCTCTAATGGTTTTGAGAGGTTTGAAAGGAGGGAAATCGGTCGGAAATCATTAAGAGCTGATGGGTTTGAGGTCTTCTTCAAGGGGTGTACTAGGGCGGTTTTCCAGGATGTAGGAAAGGTAGCATTTTGAAGAAAATAATTATATATATGATAAAGGATCAGAAGAATGGATGGCGATGGAGCTTTAATCAGTCTGACTGGGATGTTATCGGGACCGTAATCATTGGTATGGAACTTCTGAATGGATTTAAGGAGATCATCTGGTGTAATATGGGAAAAAAAGAAGTGATCAGGATTAAAGGAAGAAAACATAGGAGCCAGACTGGACGTAGGAGATGTGGTTGCAAGAGAGCAGGAGACAAAGTGAGCGTTGAGGTTATCAGCAGAAACGGAATTGGACTGGGACTGGGGTGCATTACCAATGGTCAGTTTTCTAAGAATAGTCCACGTGGCCTTAATATTAGGAGAGTTGGATAGGGAATGATGGTAGTAACGGGATTTAGCACGGCATTCTACTGATTGAGTGCTGTTTCGAAGCTGTTTGAAGGAGAGAAAATCATCAGGAAGTCGAGTTCGTTTAAACCGTCACCTTGCTGCATCTCTTTCTCTCATACACTCTCTCAAAGCAGGAGTGAGCCAAGGAGCTGAAGGCTATCGGATGGTTTTTGTGTTAAGAGGAGCATGTCGGTCGAGGATAGAGTGAAGTTGAGTGGTAAGGGTTTCTACCATGGTGTCTATGGATTTATAGGAGTAGATGGGATCCCACTGGATATCGTCAAGATCTTTCCACAGTGTTTCGTGAGTGAGAGAATTTGACAGAGGCACGGAAAAATTATCCCTGGGGCTTTTGGTTGCTCCACAGAGCCCTAAGAAATAGTAGGATTTTTTCATAATATAATATAAAATATCATTAATTATATCATATTACAGGGGAGGGGCTCTAGGACTTGTGCTAGGGCTCTCGGTTTAGGTATGTTGGAGCCTTGATATGTTTAACGAGATATCTGTATGTCCGTAGAGGTAAAAAAGGAAAAAGGAGATAAATTTAATATATTGCTCTTGTTCAGGTCTAAGAAACAAATAAGTTGTTTAATAGAAACGGTTTAATAGTCTGTGTATTAAAAACAGAAAGGCATAATGCTCACTGTGATTTTGTTATTGTAGTCTTCTTAACTCACATTGCTTTTGAAAGTGATAAGTGGAATAGATTGTAGACAAATTGTAGAGATATGATGATACATTGTTCAAAACATCCATTAAATTTTTAAAATATTCTAAACTCACATTACTCTAATATCTTAAGCCATTTCTCGCAATCTTACTCCTTTATAGTATATTAAATATTTTATTGAAATTTAATAAATCTTTTTTCTTGTATGGAATACTCTCTGATTTTATTTTCTGACTAGAAGGTTTGGTCTTAACCAGGTTCTTTTCCTTGAAAATGTTAGTGTAGATATAGGCATATTAAGATGCATTATGTCAGTAGTCTCTTCACCATTGGTAAAGGGTTATATAATTTGGTTCTTTTAAAAAGTGGATACTTCTTTAAACATATTTAATTAGCAATTACTCATTCTGTAGGGCGCACAAATACTGAAAACTAACTTATGATAATTTAAAAATGCATGGAGTTTCATTGACTCTGAAAAAGAAATTAAATGTGAACAAACTAATTTTTCGGGTGCCACGAAGGCCAGAAATGTCAGAAAAGCATCAAAGTTTATCTAGTTATTATGTAGTCTGACAAAGGTTTAGAACCTTTGTCAGGCTAAATAACATATGAATCAATTGAATTATTAACTGGGAATACCTTATTTATAAAACATTTAATTAGCATTGAAAATAATAATCTTTGCTTATAAGTATGGTGACCTAAATGATATGTACTCTATGAATAACCATTTGATAGAAATTGACAGTTTATGAAGAATCAGCTGGATATCCATCATCGACATTATATTATGCGTAACTATGTCAACATTTAACTTGAGATGCATACAATATTTCATTTCAAATAAAAATAATTGTATATATTATATATAGTTATTGTATTTATAAAAGAAAAACAAAAAAAATAATATTGTTTATTATTAAATTGTCTGATGTTTCTTTGATTATATTCAATATGGATAATAAGTTCATTATTTATTTTTACAGAAGTACTACGAGTTCTAATGAAGTACACAGTACCATTATGTGTGCATTACTTTTATCAGAATGGCTAAAGGAACTTGCTGCTATCACTCAAGAACATTCTGTAAGTTTACATTTTCTAATTTACTATTAAATTTTAATTTGTTTATTTTTTATTTACTGATTATGGTTTGCTGTAATTTTTCCTAAAATATCAATGAATCAAAGTTTTTTATTTATACCTCCCTTATATTAGTAATTGTATTTTCTAGAATGTAATTGTTTTATCTGTAGTATAATATGAGCAGTAGTCACACAGCGTTTATCATACATCAGTCAAGTACAGAATGTAATCGCAGTGCTATATCTGATAACAGAAAGAATTAGCCAAATTCCTCTTGGGTACTTCTTTTTTAAATAATAATAATAAAAGGTTTAGGGAACCCGAAGGTTCGATGCCGTCACCACCAATCGCTTATTACACACCTCCCTCCACCGTTCGCCTTCCAAACCCAGTCCTTTCAGATCGGCTTTAATGCAATCTTCCCACCTTCGCTTCGGTCTACCCCTCGGACGCTTACCATTCGGCACAGCAAATATTAACCTTTTAGGAATTCTCTCGTTACTAAGTCCAACAACTTTACAAGCCCATTTGATTCGCCGCTATGAAATTACCTCAATTATATTACCCGGATACAGTTCACGCAGTTCGGCGTTGTGTAACCGTCTGAACTCTCCGGTTAACTCATCCTTCTTTGGTCCGAATATTCTAGACAATATTTTATTTTCAAAAACCTTAAGACGCTGCTCATCCCTTAATGTAAGCGGCCAAGTTTCGCATCTATAAAGAACTGTAGGCAAGATAATTGTTTTATAGATTCTAATTTTTAAGTTCCAGGACAAGAAGCGCGAACTAAGTAGTTTTGTCACAGAAAAATAACAAGCATTTCCCGCCTTCAGTCTAACCTTAATCTCTTCTTCAATTTCGTTTTTTCTACTTATTGTAGAACCTAGATACTTAAATTTCTCTACCTGTTCAAACATATTACCATCTATATAGATATCACCAGCAGTATCGCCATTTTTGCAGCTAACCATATATTTTGTATTATCCATGTTTATTTCGAGTCCTAGTTCTTTACTGGCATTCATTAACGTTGTCGTATTTAGTTTTATAGTTTCAATGTCTTCGCTTAACAGTACTCGATCATCAGCATAGCCCAGCACGGATGTTATCCCACCCAGATCCAACCCTTTCTAGGTACGCATTACCTCCCTAATGGCATGTTCTAATGCCAAATTGAACAGGACAGGCGAAAGGGAATCCCCCTGTTTTAAACCCGAACGAACCTCAAATTTTTCGGACAGATTATTACCGATTCTAACTTTATTGAGTGTCTCCGTCAAGCACATCCTGACTAGATTTACTAATTTTTTAGGAATCCCCTGCTCGATTAGAATATTATACAGTTTCTGGCGGTCAATAGAATCGTAAGCCTTTTTAAAATCTATATACAGCTGGTGAACAATACCGTTGTATATAGTTGTACTCCAATTTTTTTTCTAATATTTGCTGTAAAGAAAATATTTGATCAATAGTCAAACGATTTCGTCTAAATCCGCATTGGTAGTCTCCGATAATTTCCTCGGCGTATTCCGTGATTCGACTGGTTAAGGTTAAAGTGAATATTTTATAACATACCGGAAGGAGTGAAATTCCTCGATAGTTATTACAATCCGTCCTCGAACCCTTTTTGTGAATTGGAATAAGAATAGATTCTTTCCATTCTTCAGGTAATCTTTCATTCACCTAGATCTTTTTAACCAACCGATGTATTTTAGAAACTCCAGCTTCCCCGCATGCCTTAATTAGTTCAGTAGGAATATTATTGGTTCCTGCTGCTTTATAGGATTTTAATTTTCCGATAGCTAATTCAACTTCCTCTTTACTCGGTCCTTCTACCAACGGTTCAGCACTCTGGTACTCAGAAGAAGAACACAGATCATAATTTTCCGTATTTAAAATATTGTCAAAGTGGTCCTTAAACTTATTCAATATGTCAACCGGATCGGTCAGAATATTGTTATTATCATCCCTAATTCCAGACGTTACGGGCCCTACACATTTGCGTGATCTGTTTATACCTTTGTACATGTCTCTTACGTTATTTTCGATTCTATTAGTTTCTATTTCAATTATTTTATTTTTAAGATACTCCCTTTTTTTATTTTTTAGCAAGTTTGTCGTTTCGTTCTTTGTGGTTCGGAAGTATTCCAGATTGTCTTCGCTAGGATTATTTAGAGCTTTTAATTTAGCGGCTTTTCTTTTTTCGCACATGTTTAAGCAATCTTCATCAAACCACGGTTTGTTACTCTTATTTTCCTTTTTTCCTAGACACAAGTTACCGACCGCGTTAATATTATCCCTGATCTCTACCCATAACTTGTCAGTATCCTCGTGGTCCTCATCAGAAAGCTCTAAAGCTTCAAACCTATTCTTAATATCTAGCTCGAATTGGGTTCTAATTGATGGATTTTTTAATTTTTCTAAAATTAAAATTCTCAAAATCGAAACGGTTTTATTTTCTCTTTTTTATATAAAGTTTTTGTCGAAGTTTCGCGATTACTAATTCATGATCCGACCCACATTCTGCTCCGTGATAAGACCGTACATTTATTATACTGTTTTGCCAGCTATGTTGTATCAAAACATGATCGATTTGATTTCGTGTTTGCAAATCCGGTGATGTCCAAGTATATTTAAGAATATCCTTATGTTTAAACGTCGTACTTTTAATTATCAGGTTTTTCGAGATGGCAAAGTTTATCAGACGGATCCCATTATCAATACTATATTCGTGCAAACTTTCTTTACCAATCGTCGGAATATAAACTTCTTCCCTTCCTACCTTTGCGTTCCGGCACCTACAATTATTTTCATGTAGTTTCGCGGTAGTTTATCATAAACCCATTCGAGTTTATCGTAAAATTCACTTTTGACTTCTTCGTCACTGTCTTCGGTCGGACAATGTATGTTTATTACTGCGATTTTAAACCAACGTCTCTGAAATATAGCTACCGAAATTCTATCACTAAAGAATTGTACCTCCCTCAAAGCGGATAGTAATCTATTCCTAATTAGAAACCCGGTACCTAAACAATGATTCCCGCTTCCTCCGTACCAAATAGTGTACTTTCCTTCCCTCATCAAGCCCTCCCTTCTTTTTTTTAATGTTAAAAAAATTATAAATGATTAATGAACAAAAGGGATTCACAATAAACATAATGGGCATGTTCATAGTAATCAATGTCAAAATAAATCCTTCGACTACATAAAAAACAAACATAACCAGAGAAAACAAATACCCAACAATAGTAAGAACATACTAATTACTCAATTTTAAACCTATGATCCACCGTGAATCATCATTCACTGATAGTATTCAAAATAAAGAATTAAATAATTAAGTACAACAACACATAAATTCAAGATTTTATCCAATAACACAAACCAATTTGCTCACAAATAAAATAATCAACACAGTTAAAAACTATGACTTATCAGATTATAGGCAAAAAGGCTCTGTTGGAAGGGAAACAAATGCTAAGCTGCCCCTTAATAGCTCTAAAAGAGGAGGTTTAATTATAGAAAATCCTTTTTGAATTAATGCTGGTAGAATCTCAACTAAACCTGCAGATTTATATGGAGACAATGAGTCAACTGCCCATTCCTGTCTATTTTCTGTAACGATATCTTTAGCTTTATTCTAAACGTCTCTATTAAATGTATAGCGTACAAGCCTTCTCCATTGTATTACAACCAGAAAAGTGTGCTAATGCTAGATCTCTCAGGGTTTCATTCTCATTGGTGGTGTATTTACCATTGACCCTGATTGTGTCCAAAAGAGTGTTGATTTGTTAGTTGAGAAGTATTGCTTTTCTTAAATATATATACAGTTTAAAAGATTTAACTTATGTTATTGTATTATTTTTTAATTTTTGTTTGATTATATTTCAGAAAAATAAATTATTAAATTGTCTATTCTAGACTTTTTTTGTTCAAAATAGGTACACATGAAATGAATTATGGGATTTTATTATTCTTCCTACTGTCATCTATTGGTAATCAGTGTGCAATTATTTTAATTTTGTAATATTTGTAAATTAAATGTAGAGATAATTGTATAATATATTTCTATCAACAATGTTAATACTGTTCATATTTTTTTTTTACTGTTCATACTTGTAAATACCTAATTTTTTATTAATTAAACTCTTCAATGTTTAATATTATATAATAATTTATATTAATATGTATTTTATCAGAAAGCAACAAAGTGATTAGAAAAGTTCAAATGTTAACATGTCTTTCTTGTCATAGTTATATATTGTATATTTGTAGTAATATGTATATATTAAAAAATAAGGGTTAAAAGCTGTGTCTTATGTCTTTGCAGTATAAAAATAATCAAAATGTAAAAATGTACCTATTCATATATACATTGGTATACTACATAGGATCATTATTAACAAAGTTCAGATGACCCCAACTGTTTATGAAATGTTAAGATGTTGACTACCAAATAAATTAGCATTCTTTCATTGTAAATATGAATAGGTGGCCTCAGAGAAAATAAGAAAAAATCAAGTTTGACTTACATGATTAAAAAATTAGCCTTTACATAACATTAGCCCAAAACGAGATGATTGCAAGATCGTTTATTTTTAAAAAAATACTCACATTCTATATGTTTTTTATTGGTAACTATGTGCTAAAATTAGAGTTTTCAATGATATAATTAAATTAAGTATTTTTAGACCAGAATCGTGAAACATACCATGGCAGTCAACATGTTAAAATCTACCAATTTAATTTAAATACAGGATGAAGTATATCATTAAAAAGAAATTAATTTATTTTTATAGTCATTTAAATGTAACATTGATTAAAACTTGTCCTTTAACTGTGTTATTATCTCATTGCTAAAAGATTAGTGAGGGCATAAGACTTAAATGTTGCCTATCTGCTGTACATTTAAAGAAAATGTTTGTAACTAAAATTATTACTATTAAGATTTAAAACCAGATTGTGATGAAATGATTGTGCCTGTTTGTTAAAAATTATTCTAGTTTATCTTAATAAATACAAATTTAAATTAATAAGGCTGGCCTGTTATACTGTTTTTTTTTATTATTATTATGTTCAATAAATTCCTTAATTGTGTATGTGATAAAAAATATGGATACTACCAAAGAGAATAGAATAAACTAGAATTGCTTTCTCTTTTTTGGCATAGAGGAGGAAGTATGCTTTCAAGTTATCTTAAGTTGTTTTTCAAGTGTGACTGCAATATTAAGTTTCCTGTGGATAAAAAATGCTCATATTGGTCAAGTGAAATAATTTAACATAAAAATGACAACATGTATATCAACCTACAATCTACTTCTGTTTATTGGGCTTGATTTTATATTTTAATATTGAGTAGTTCTATCTCAATTTTTGCCTAATTCTACATTTCCTGTCTTTAAATTTTACTGATATATTTACCTCACAAGAATAATTATAATTAAGAAGAAGTTAGTTGGGGGTGTGGTCAATTTATAAAATACTATATGAGATAATAATATTTTTTATTGAATTATCCAAGTTTTTGGCCTACGATATAGGTCTCCTTCAGGGCATTCCATATGCTGAGCAGTCTCTTTCCAGTACTCCCAGCAGTGCCAGATGGAACGGCCTTAAGAAGACCTACAACGTAGGTTAGATATTGGATTATTCAATAAAAAATACTATTATTTAATATAGTATTTTATACATTGACCGCACCCCGACTAATTTCTAATTCTGAAATTAGAACCTACGGTCAACCATCTCCACACCAATATAATTAAGTTTTTTTTAGATTTAGTTGGGATGATGGAAAGAATAATACAAATATTGAAAGTGTAATCTTACAAGTATGAATCTTTAAAGAAATTTAATTTCAAATACTTAACAAATTATTGGTTGCATACAAATTTAAAATTAGATACTAATATATTACTCTTTTAGAGCTTTTGTCTCAAATTTTGTTTCAATATCTTTATTTTGATCGTCTACATGATTTCGTATTCTAATTTAAGTATAAGTTTCACCAATACATTTTATTAACCAATGTTTGTAATTTTCCTCTGAACTAAAGGTGTATCAATAAATAAATTCATATTTAAACAAAACAAAAGTAATTTATGGATTGATAATGTTTTCAGTCATTCTGTTTTTGAAATTTGTTCTGAATGCTTCATATGGCATACTTTCTTGTTTTAAGAGAAATGAGTTTCAAATTATGAAATAACTATTTCTTACTTTGTATCACAGACGGATCTACGGGGGCTTTCGGGCTGACGGCCCCTCAAAAATAGTAAAATATAACCACGTTTTATGAAAAAAATTATCTAAATATTATTGTTCATTTAATTACATTTAATAGGACTTAAAGAATCACTTAAACACCATTTCATATAATTAGTTAGTTTCTTTATTTCTTCCAAAGTAATTATCCTAATATATGCATACAAAACAAAATATTACTCCTCCCCTCCCCCCCCAAAAAAATTAAATTCTGGATCAGTTTGTGCTTTGTATAACAAATCAATTGCTTTGTTTAGCATAAAGATGATCGTACCATCAGAAACTTTTGAGAATTTCTATTCCTCTTCAAATTCTGGTATAGATACAACGTTAAAGATAATAAATCTATTCCTTGACTGTGAAATATCATTGGAAGAATTACAAATAGCTATTCACCACATGAAAAGAGATAAATCTCCTGGCAATGACGGGATACCTTATGAATATCACAAATTATTAACACTTGAGAGGGAACGTTATATCCTCAATCTTATGAATGAAGTCTATAAACAAGAAGACATCCCCAAATGCTGGGCAAAAATAATAATAAAACCAATTTTCAAAAAAGGTAACAAAAATAACTCGACCAAATATAGAACTATAATAATAATAAAAACAAAAATATTCATTTACATTCTGAACAGCCGTCTTATGGAATGGTCAGAAATCATCAACATACTGACGGAAGAATAAAATGATTTTCGTGAAAACAGGGGATGCAGAGATAGCATCTTTGCTTCGAGCTTCATTATAAGTATCAACCTGAGACTTAAAGGACACTATGTTTTTGGAATATTTATTGATTTTCAAAAAGCCTTTGATACTTCAAATCATAATAAGTTATGTTGAATATTTAATTGTTGACCGTTGCATTATAAAGGAAGGATATGGTCGGGGGTGGTGGTCATAAATAGGCTAAATAGTGGTAAAACTATTTTATTGAAAGCCGACTTTGCAGGTCTTCTTCAGGGCTAGAACGGACAAGATAGAGAATTGTGGCAGTTACATAATATGTAGACAAAATTTATAAACAATATGAATAAGCTCTTGTAATTGTATTTACTAATTACAAAATACAGAATTTTTCATTCATTCATTCATAAAGATGATCACTGTTTTAAAGTTAATTTTGCATTTTTACATTAAAATGTTTTTGGTTTTAATTTAGATATTTACCTGTTTTATAACTGTTTAATGTTTAATAAATTGTTTTATAATTGTTTTTAGAGGAGCTGGACCCAGGAGATACCTCCGAAAGGTAATACCCATGATCAAAAATCTCATAAGAAATTCGGAATATGCAATCAGGAATCAAAATATCTATGTTTAGTTATATTTTATAAGTTATACCAAGAATATTTTTTAGAATTATCAATCAATTCTGCAGCTAGGACCTGAGGCGTTGTTTCCATATATCATTATTGTCCAGTCAATGAATGATTATTGAAGGAAATGGCAGGGACACAATTTTTGACTTTGGGACATTGTTTGGACTAGTAAGGAGGTAAACCTACTAAAAGTTCCCACTCCTATGTGGTGAGTCAGATGTGGTGGTGCGTCTAGGTCACTTTTTTTGAGTTTTCGCTTATATCAGGAAAACTATCCATCACACCGACAAAGACGTTCTATACAAAATTAAAGCTATACTTTAATACGATATTATACTTTTTTTCACTATGTCGCTTAGTTTCCGGAATATATTTGTCCTCAAATATGGCTAATTTTGAAGAAAAAAAAAATCACCTTGTGTTTATTGCTGTTTTTCAAGTTTTCGCTTATATCAGGAAAACTATTCATCACATCGACTAAGACGTTCTATACAAAATTAAAGCTGATAAAATTTGCAATGTGATTGATTATATACCTTTTTTCGCTATTGCTTAGTTTCCGAGATATCCGTCCTCAACTATCGCTAATGTGGATAAATAAAAAAAAATACCTCATGTTTTTGCTGTATTTGACTAGCTAACTCTTGATTAATTCTTTCTACGATTAAGTCGTGAGTTAAAACCTTTTTAATGATTAAATTTTCATCAAGAATATATAATATTTTACCAGTTTATTTCCCAATGGTTCAAAAGTTAGATCAATTATATATAACTTTATATGTCAATTTCGAGAATTTGCAGAGAAAAATAATTAGAAATAAACTAGTAAAATATTATATATTCTTGAAGAAAATTTAATCATTAAAGACTTCTTTCCTTACGAATTGATCATAGAAAGAAGCAATCAAGAGTTAGCTAAATTTTACTCTTATAGTCTGACATACTCGATTATTTTGAAAACATTCTAAGTAAAGTAATTTTGTGTCAATAAAATAATAAAGAAGTACACAGTAGGCTGATTAGTCTTCATTAATTTATATTTGAATAATTCAGTAAAATATTGTTTACTCGAACATTGCAGGTAACATATTGGTAAATTCAAGCCGGACTCAGTGGCGGATTCAGGAATTTTCTCAAGGGGGAAATGGAAACCTCTGTACCAGGTGTTTCGTCCACCACTACCCATCACTCCCATCCCTATCCATCTCCCTCACCCCCTCCACCGCCCTAAAATACTTGAAACAGTTCGAGAGCTCGTGGAAAAAAATCGACATCTGAAGAAAACTTTGAAACCATTTTTTTAAATATTTATAAAATTTAAATTTAATAAATAATAGTCTGCCAATGGGATCATGCTACCTGTAAAAATGGTGACTGATTTAAATAATAATAGATATGTGTTTTGAGGATCAAAACGGGAAATTCATAGCGAAAAATATGGGAAACATTTTTATTTCCTAAACTTGTGAAGATGGGTTTCTTTAGACATGAAAAAGAAAATTACTAACACGAGTCACCAAGATAAAACTTTTTAACCTCAAAAGAACCAAATTGTTTCCGATCCTTTTTGATTTTCCGATCCTTTGATTGATTTTTCATCTATAAATACTGAACATTGGATCGAAGCGAAAAATGTATTCTTTAAGCAATTAAATTTTGCTTGAGTACATAAACTTAATAATTTGGTTAAGTGGCATGGTTGATAATCACGGTCAACGAACGTTAATTTTTAAGAAATTTATCAAAAACTGAGATAAATCACTATTTTTATTTATTTTTTATTGAATATTAATACAATCTGCCATGCCGAAGGGCATTGGTACTAGAGCTATAGTATTCATTCACACAATATGTACATAAGAAAGGAAAAAAACAAAAAAAAGATATATAAATAAAAAGATAAAGTAATTTACAAGATAAATAAAATAACAGATTAGCAAATAACAAAATAAATAAAACACATTCACACCTATGCACAATATTTACATTGGCCCAGGGGACTCCGAATCAAGCTTTGTCCCACAATTGTGGAAGCCAAAGCAGGACTCCAGAAGATCCCAGTGCTTCTCTCCCAACCGCGTCACTGGTATAGTAAGCCAGTGGAGACTGGTGGAGGGCACTAGAGCAACAGACGCTCAGGACATGAGTGAAGAATCTGGCCAGTGCCAGTATTCCAATATATACATTTTAAAAAAAGGTCGCGGGGCAACTGCCGTTTTAACCTCCGAGGAGGATTGTAGGGATGACTGGAGGTAGATAGAGACTGTGCTACAGGATTAGGAAGATGAGTGAGATTCCACTGAAATTTGTCTGGGATTAGGTCAAGTTCAAATGGGATATTAAGGTCATTGTGTAGGGTTTTATTGGTTACATAAAAGGGAGCATCGACTATTGTTCGAAGAACTTTAGACTGGAAGGATTGAATGCGTTTGATGTTTTTTTATTTGTTTATTTAGAAATATTACATTCTGTCACATCAAGGA